CAAAAAAGAAAAAAGCCGGAAGTGGCGCTGTGGCTCAAGTGGTAGAGCACTAGCCTTGAGCTGAAGAGCTGAGGGACAGCGCCCAGACCCAGAGTTCAGGCCCCATGACTGGACTCCCCCCAAAAAAAATTTAAAAAAAGAATTATAAATCCCCCTCAAAAAGAATTATAAATCCAAGTTCTAGTTCTAAGTAACCCCTTCCTAATTACTTGGTATCAGGTACCACTGAGTCACAGTTTTCTTGTCTGTAATTATTATAATAATAACACCTGCCTGAGGGTGGTGATGATCTTGGGGACTATTTTCATGAGAAAGCTCTGTCATTTTCCAGAGGGACAGAAGGAGGAGCAGATGGATGGACAATTTAGTGAGCTTCTCCCACCCAAGTCTCTCTCACAAGAATACGTGGTTTATTCCTGAGGGACTTTTGATTCTAGCTTCGCAGTTTCTCCCCCAAGAGGCTTTGCTACAGCTGTACCCTTTCTGGGCCCAGGGGAGAGAGACACAGACTCAAAACCTAAAGTCACTGGCCAATGAACCATGAAACATGGTGTACTGAGGATGTAGCTGATAATGAACAAGCCAGCTTCTAACTGATGTGTGTGCACAAGTTCTTACTGGCATCTAAGAACACCTTGGTCTTTTTCTATGTGTGTTATTTCTAGGCCGCTGCATCTTTTGCTTTACAAGGTCCAAGAGTCTGAGGCAAAAGCTCAGCAAAAAAGTTAACAATGTAGGAAAGACTTTGAAAAGGATACAAAGATACTACCAGTGTCTCACATATCTGCTAGAGTACCTTGCATGTAGCTTATAGGGCTATACAATGTCTTACTGTACCCATACACACTCCTTCCATGTATTTTTTAGGTATTTGCTCACAATGTGTGATTATGAACTCTTTTTGCATTTATTGCTCCAACCACCCATACACACACACACACACACACACACACACACACACACACATGTGCACCAAGCATAAAGAGAAAAGAGTCAGCACATCTAGTCCTTGGGCAGACCTTGCACTCAGTCGTCCCTGAGTCTGAGGATGCCCCCAATGTCTGAAGGACCCTGAATAGGGGCACATGCTTGGCAATTCATGCATGTTGGGTCATTGTGTCGAGTAGTTACATGAAGGGTTTGGATGCATAGTCATTTTGTGTATAAAGAATGATATAAACTCTTTTACATCTTAAAACAGTCAAATATTCTGGATTCTACATTGTAAATTGGCATTTTTCAGAGTCACTTGGACTCAGAAGGGGGAATATATTTTTTTTCTTTTGAGTTGAGTGGTTTAGACTATAGATGTGAATAGGGCTAGTCATGCAGATGGCCTCATATAAATAAGCCAAATTGGGGAGGAAGGCTTTTGTCATTAACAAGAGAAGGAATGATAATGTTCTACAATATGTTTCTAATATATTCTCCCATCTGCTCTCACCATTTCCAGTAAAGCAAATACAGCAACTATTTATTATTTTCATTTAACAAATGAAAAGCATGTGCCTTGAGCAGATTAGGTCATTTGCTTGTTTGCTTGCTTGCTTTTTTCTTGCTTGTTGTTTTTTCCTCATGAGTCTCCAAACTGTTTCAGAAATACAAAGTTTTTGAAAAATGACTCACCTGCACCATGAAGAAGTAGAAGTAGGCTGGCAAACATAAAAAGGGAAGACATTCTGTGAGGGAAAAAAAGAAAGAAAAGCATAAAGGAAACAGTCTGGGTCAGCATGACCAGACTCACCTGCTGCTGGAGGAGGAAGCTGTGGCAGACATCACTTCTAAACTGCAGGCCCAGTTGAGCTGCCCTGAGCAGAAAGAGGCTTCCAGTACCTCAGTATTCCATGTGGAAAGGCCATCTGAGTCACATTCACTCAGGCTGGCCCTGTGCAGTTTGGTTTGATTTGTTACATGAACCTAGAACTCAATTTCTATCACACCCATACCAGTCTCTCTAGATGAGTCATAGTGGGATGCAGATCATCAAGATCAGCCATCAAAATATTTGAAGGACCAACAACAGAATTCCCAGTAATCCTGGCTGACCTCTCTGAATGGTGCTGGAGCACATTGGAGAAGATAAAACTTGGAGATACATGGGTGAACTCAGGAAGTTGTGAACTGATGTTTCCAAGTGGGAAAAAAATAAGGAAGAGATAGTATTAATCCATCCTTCCCAGGCAAGGCTGCCTTTTATTGGGAATGATATTGAATGGGCCTAGGACATCTCTGGAAGGGATGGGAAAAGGCTCAGGGAACAATCATCCCCCTCAAGGAGATCAAGCACAAATGTACATCTGTATGCTGATCAAGCCACTGATGCTCATAGGTTGGATCCGGCCTCCTTCTCTATTCTCACCTCCCCTTTCTTCCCCATACTCTAAATTCCATCAGTATGCCCCAGTGTTGTGTTGCTGGTCAAACTTTCTCTGCCTAGCATCCCACTACTCTCCTTTGACCCCTACTCATCCATTCACAGCTCTCCTCCAGCGACCCTTTCAAAGTCCTCTCCAATCCCAAATCCAGTTAACCTTCCTTCTTCTTCATCTTGGACATACTTTTCTTTACATGTTCCTTTGTCCCTTACTATTTCAAAGAAAGAAAAGTAAGATAATCATTCCCTTACCTTGTTTTCTTGTCCCCTCTTCTTCCTGTTATTTAATGAAGAGGGGAAAAAAAAATCTACCACAATTCTCTAGGTCTACCTGTGATACATCATAAGAATACCAGCTAAATGTCAAATGCTCACAAAGGCCAAATTTAATCTTCAAAATAAGTCTAGGAAGTAGCTACTATTATGACTTCCACTTTGTTAGTGAGCCAACCAAGCAGAGTAAGTAGAATTCTTCAGAGCTAAATAGCACCAACACTTTTGCCTACCATTTAGTTTAGCTGAACCCTGTCCATTCCACCAAAGTTCTGTCCTAGCTGGATTCTGCCAATCACCCACACATTTCGAGATAACCCCATCTCCCTGTGCATCCACCAAGAGAACAGAAGATTCATGGGTAAAATGAGGCAATGGTTTATGGAATATTACAGTTCATTTCTTTCTTAGAAGCCTGTTAGGCCCCAGAAAGTATGTGCACTGTAGGTTGAATATTAACAAACACAGATGTATCTGAAGAGCTAGAGGATAAAGGACCCGCTTTTTCCTGTCAGTGAACAAAGAAAGCATTTCTAGGGTCAGTAAGACAAATGAAAAAATAAATTGTTAAGTTTACATACTCTAATTAAGGGTATGACTACTGATTGACATCATCTATTCATTTAGGAAATATCTCTCCATGACAGGTGTAGTAAACTATTTAAAGATATAGCTGCAAATAAATAAATAAATTAAAATGTTACTATACTTTTTAGGAAAACTCAATTTACATATACATTTCAATGTTCAGTGTAATTTGTCTCCTGACACTATTTTGTGAGCATTTCTTCATCATTAAATATTATTATAATCTGGCCTACTTTGTCTTAGAGTTATTTATATACATATCACCCCTACTAGGCTTTAAGTTTCCTAAGTGTAGGGCTTTATCTTCCCCCTCATTCATGTATCTAGCATAGTGTTCCATATATTGTAGGTCCAATAAGTATTTATTGAATTAACTAAATTAAATCCAGTCTTCTGTAAGATCCCCACAAATGTTTACTGTATATAAACAGAAAAAAAGAGGAAATAACACAACAAAAACAAAAATCAAGAAAGGAATTCAGAGAGTACTAAAGATGAGTATAATTATACTAACACAGAAAATTCCAGCCATGTATCCAGGTTGTTTCTAGGGCTTATGACCTGAATTTTCACTCTGGTTTGCAGGTGAACAATAAGAAGTCTATGAACTAGCTGGACATAGTGATGCTACATAAAAAGAATGGGCAACATCATGGCAGACACTTCCATACTTCCAGCACACTGCCCATCACTTGACTCTCCAATTCACAATCATGGCTAACCATTTCCCCCAGATACAAAGCACATTCATGGAAAGAACTTACCTGCTTCACAGCTGATCTCTCTGATCAGCCAGGTGACAAGCAAGTGAGGTGGAGTCAGCATGTCTTCCAAGGAACAGTTGTGTGGCAGTCCTCAGGGAGAAACTGTGATTACTAAGCTGTTGCCACAAATGCCCAACAAAGCTCTGGATGACAACATTTCTACAGCCATATTTGTTAGTTTAAAAAAGTTTATAAGGTATTATAGTGGAAGACTGTAACTACAACAACACTGTAATGTCCAATGTTGTAGAATCATTGTGCACCCATTCTTTTTTAAATCACACGTTTGAAATTAATTAACATGGGGGAAATATTCACTATGCAATTCTTGGTGGGAAATTCAATCATGAAACTTAATATACCTATGATTTCAGCTTTGTGGGAGAAAAATGTGTGCTTATAGAAAGGGAAGGAAATACACCAAAATGTTAATAGTGAAGAGGCAACTGAAAAGTTACTTTTACTGGTCCATAAATTAACTAAAAACTGGATACCAGCCCTCAGCCCACTCAAAACCACTTTCCTTGAGCACAAAAGCTCAGGGAGGGACAGTGTCTGGGCTCAGAGTTCAAACCCCATGACTGACCAAAAAGAAAGAAAGAAAGAAAAAGAAGTGCCCAGAACTCACTGCTAGGACCTATTGTGGCCAAGGGCCCTCCCCCTATTACAAGCCAAAGAGTACCATGGCGGAAGTTCTGTGGCAAGCACTTGGCTCTTGGTCACTATACCATGGGAAGGACACTATTTTTTTTTACATTAAGGCCACCTGGGCCTTGGAGGGCTGCTGAGTCCCCATCAGAGTCAAATTTGGCCCCAAATTTAAAACTCCACTTCTGTGAGCGCTCAGGCAGGTAATTTCTCTCTCTCTCTCTCTCTCTCTCTCTCTCTCTCCTCCCTCCCCCTTAAACTCTGCCGCTTCAAAATTAGCACAAGGCACCTGTCCCTATCCAGGTAGCGGGAGAGTCCTGAGGTAGATGGGAGTTCAGGTGGGTCGGGCCAAGAGAGGGAGGGGCCAGTTGTGTGTCGGGAACTCCAGGAATAGGAGAGGGGCCCAGGTCTGGGTGGAGCTGAGGACCAAAGGTGAGCATAATACTAACAGAATTTCTTTGTCCTGTTCTGTTGGGGATTGATTTATTGTGCCAACTGTCCTGTTTGGGATTTATGCTGTAAACTATCCTGTCTGGGACTTTATGTAGGAGTATCCTTCTGATACTAACAGTCTTGGCTTTCAGATAAGGTCAGGGGTGAAGTTTTCCAGAACCAGGAAGGGGCCCCTGGGGAGGGGGGTCAAGGGACCTTGGGAACAACATGGAGTTGAGAACAAAGCATATTCCCATTCATTTCTACAAGTGCCACATTCTGCAGATTCTCCCAGGCCTTAGTGTTCTAGCAGTGACTGGATCTGGAGCTTCCTTTAAGATAAACTCTCAGGTGATCTCACCTAGTCTCTGTCTCTGTCTTTTTCTCTTTATCTCTCTCTCCTCAAACCTATTGTCGCAAAGTTGTAAAGAGATTATAAGATGTATCTATACTCCATTTGCTTTTCTTTTTTCTGCAGATCCTGGGGCTTGAACTCAGAGTCTGGGTAGTATCCCTGAGCCTCTTTGTGCCACACCACTTCTGGCATTTTCTAAGTAGTTTATTGGGGATAAGAGTCTCACATATGTTTCCTGCTTGGGCTGGCTTCCAACTGTGATTCTCAGATCTCTGCCTTCTGACTAGCTAGGATTATAGGCATGAGCCACTGGCACCCAGCTTCTAATTGCTGAATAATATTCTATTGTGTGCATATATCACATTTTACTTATCCTGATATTTGGGTTGATTCTGTATGGGGGGTTGTTGTTGTTGTTGTTATTGTTTTGGTAATAGTACTGGAGCTTGAGCTCAGGGCCTGAGCACTGTCCTTTAGTTTTGTTTCCTTATTTTGTTTTCCTCAAACCTGGTGTTTTGCCACTTGAGCCACACTTATACACCTCAGCTTTTTCTGTTGGTTAACTGTAGATAAGAATCTCATGGACTTTCCTGCCCAAGCTGGCTTTGAACTTGAGTGATCCTTAGATCTCAGTCAGCCTCCTGAGTAGCTGGGATTACAGACGTGAGCCACCAGCACCTGTCTTCCATTTGTTTGCTATATGAAAAGTGCTGCTCTGAACATTCATGTACAAGTTTTTGTGTTGACAAGTTTTAATTTTTCTCTTGGGTACAGACCTAGAAGTGGGACTGTTGGTTCATACAGTAATTCGTATTTAAAACCTTTTCAGGCTGGACAGTGGTGGTAGTTCACACCTGTAATCCTAGCTTACTCAAGAGGCTGAGTTCTGAGGATCATGCTTCAAAGTCAGCCCAGGAAAGAAAGTCCATGAGACTCTAATCTCCAATTAACTACCACAAAAACTGGAAGTGAAGCTGTGTGTCAAGAAGTAGAATGCCATATGGGAGAGAAAAAGTTGTTTTATAACTATGTGACTTGGCAGATTAATCATTTTACCCCTAGCTTGGTTTTATTGTATGTAGTTTCTACACAAAAGCAAAACAAAACAGAAAACCTTTCAGATCCAGACAGTTTTCCAAAGTGATTACTTTACACCTTCATTAGCACTTATTATCTGGTTTAGTTTAGGCCTCTTAACTGGGTGTGAGCAGCATCTCATTGTGGTTTTTGAGGTTTTGATTTGCATTTTCCTTATGGCTAATGATGCTGAACATCTTTTTCTGTGCTTGTGCAACATCCTCAGTGGTTTGATGCCTACTCTCTGTTCCTGCATAGCAAGACAGTAGTTGCATTTGAACACAATCACGAACACTGGAGTTGGTATCTAGCTGTATTGTAACAAAGTGACTTTACCCATAGCTTGGTTTTATTGTGTGTAAAATGGAATAACTTATAGAATAATGTGAAGATTAAGTAAAATAATGACTACAAAGCCCTTTGGGTAGTAATTGGCACATGTTACGTATTATTTTTAGTATGTACTAATATTTTGCAATGTTGTATATATATGAGTTATACTTATATTGTGTTGTGTATATATATACATATATGTACATACATATGTATATATATACTATATATTATATTGTATATATATATATATATGTAATCCTTATATTTTCCAATGTTTTATATACACACAGTAGGTGTCTGTGAATTAGTGTGTTTGTGAATGAATATGCTGGGAACTACATATCATTTTAGCTCATTGATACTTGTAGTTATGACTATCTAGAAAAGTCAAACAACCTAATTATGAAACAGGTTGAGCAAGTAGATAGAATTGAGAAGTTATACCATCACTCAAACTCCAAAAACCAGATGTTGCTAACACCTAGAAGAAATGAGGAGATTCAATGAGATAGGTTGCTTTGTAGCTCTAATAAATATTACATCCACATCTACAAATATCGTATCATTATTGGAGCCTTCAAAACAAAGGGACCCAAACGTTAAAGAAGAAATTTGGTTTGAGGAAAAGATATTCAGAAAACCATCTTAATCTGTGAATTCTACAGCCAGGACAAACTGATGCCCAGCAAGGAACTGTTGATAACCAAACTGGTAATCCTTCACTGACTGGCTGAAGACGTACTCTAGGCCTCCATAAATACAAAGATTAATCCATCATGAAAGTTTCAGAGACCTCAGCTCATTCTGCATTCAATACTGTCTTAACCAGTTGGTTTGTTAAGACTTGGAGGACAGTGATTGGCAAATGGCAGAACTTGAAAAAACCCTAAGGCAGTGTGCTGGTCCTGGGACACACTGAACTCAGGGCCTGGGTGCTGTCCCTGAGCTTCTTTGCTCAAGGCAAATGCCCTGTCACCTGAGCCATAGCTCTACTTCCAGCTTTTTCAGTAGTCTATTGGAGGTAAGAGTGTCATAGACTTTCCTGCTCAGACTGGCTACAAACTATGATCCTCAGATCTCAGCCTCCTGAGTAGCTAGGCTCAACACCACTTTTTCTTTATTTTTCTGGTCATGGGGCTTGAATTCAGGGCCTAAGCACTGTCTCTGAACTCTTCTGCCCAACACTCCTGCTCTACCGCTTTAAGCCCCATCACCACTTCTAGTTTTCTGATGATTAACTGAAGATAAGAGTCTCCTGGAATTTCCTGCCCTTTGTCTGGCTTTGAACTGTGATCCTCAGATCTCAGCCTCCTGAGTAGCTAGGATGACAGGCATTTGCCACTAGCACTCAGCTTCAATTCCACTTTTTTTTTTTTTAAGTCCTAGGGCTTGAACTCACTACCTTGGCACTGTCCCTGAGCCTTTTTGTGTTCAAGGCTAGCACTTTAGTGGTTAAGCCATAGCACCACTTCTGGCTTTTTTTTGAATAGTTTATTGGAGATAAGAGTCCCGTGGGGTCTTTTCTGCCTGGGCTGGCTTTGAACCACAATCCTCAGACCTCAGCCTCCTGAGCAGCTAGGATTACAGGCATGAGCCACTGGTGCCTGGCTTCAGCTCCACTTTTAATCACATCTTTGCATTCTTTCCAACTAGTATGGCTTTTGAAAGGAACCACCACTCAAATCATTTCTTAGTTTCTTTGCAGCCAATAGATCAATGGGGCCTATTTAAGTTTGGTATGTCAAAAATTATTCATGTTTTATTTCATTTCACTATATACTGAGTGCCTACTATGTCTTCAATATCCCATGATAAACAAAGCTCCTAAGGTCAGGAAGCCTAGCAAGAATGACTAAAAGGCAGGCTGTTTATCTGTTCTCCTTTCTCTGACTCGAGATGAGGCATAATTTAATTAAGCATTGTTTAAGAGTGAAGTTTTGATAAGTGATTGGAATGCCATGTGCTTTTCCAGTTCCTTGGAATTCATAATTATTTTCCTAGTTGGTTCATTACATTGTCTGCTCTGTCTTCATACTCTCCAGGGCTCCATTCCTCCAATGTCCAACATGAACCAAATCAACTGTGGTCCTGGGGCAGTATCATCTGATACAAGCATTGCAGCCCAGATTTTGTTTGGTTCAGGTCCCTTTGATTAAGTGTTCTACTCTAGGTTTGTGTCTGATAGTCACAAAACCTGCAATCTCTAAGACAAATGCCTTTTACTTTGTTTTCAGTTTTTAGTGAAAGTGATAAAGTTTATGAGGAAAAGAATAGACGTTAATACACTAATGGGGCATCTTCATTGTGAGAATGACCATTACAAGTCTAAAGGCCACTAGTAAATACTTTCAACTCACCATTTGCCAAGATCTTATCTAACTGCTGGGCACAATAAAAACAACAAAGGTCACCACACTGAGTTCAAAAGAGCAGTGTGAGATAATTGAAAGATCATGGACTTTGGAGTCACAAAGATGAGTTACAAAGTCTGTTATGCCCTCACTGTCTGCGTCATTTGAGACAATTTCTTCTCATTTTTAGGTTTGAGTTACCTCACCTCTAAAATGAGAATGAAAGTTTCTTTTTTGAGCCAGGTATGATGGTGTACACTTGTATACATTTAGGAGGCTGCAATAGGAGGATCATGAGTTCAAGGACAGCCTGGGCAAGATAGTGAGAACGTGTGTGAAATAAAGAAATAGTTCCTCTTTACAAATTATATAAAATTTAAAACTACTTGAATTTTTCTGATATGAAAAAATTAATATCAAGTTTCTGATAAATATGGATGTTTGATACATATTAATCCTTTTTCAATGAAAATTTAATAGTCACTTAATATGCAGATTAAACTTACTATTTAGTTATTCAAAAGGCCTCTTATATATTCAATATTATATATTCAAAAGGCCAGTTAGATAAAGGTAAAGGTGGGACATGATTATAATCCAAGTTCATAATCCAAGCTTCTCTGGGAGGGAGAGAAAAGAGGAACACTGAGACCAGCCTGGCAAAATCCACAAGACCCTAGCTAAAACAAACTAAAGCAAAAAAAGAGCTATGATCAAGGTTCAAAAGGAACAGCACCAGTTGGCCCTGAGTTCAAATCCTAGTTAGTACTACACCTCACACCCTCCTTAAAGGAGGTATGAGTACCTACTATGAAGTGGGTCCTGTGTTAGGCTCTAGGGATATAATGATGACAAAGGCAATTTCTCTGAAGATCCTTTCAATTCAATTTATTTTTTAAAACCTGGCAGTTACTAAAACACATCAATTCAAGCTATTTGCAAGAATCGTGCTTTTGGTGGTATGTGTTGGTACAAGGGAGAATACAAAAATAAAGATAGCAGAGTACTCTGAGCATGAGATAAGCATTTTACACTGAAATTTAGTTTCCCTGTAAAACAGCTTCAAAAGGGAGAAACACAATTGTCCACAAAGATTGCTTCTTCTTTCTTTCTTTTTTTTTTGGGGGGGGGGGGGGGGCAGTGGAGGCCAGTCCTGGGGCCTAGGCACTGTTCCTGAGCTTCTTCTGCTCAAGGCCACTTGATCCACAGTACCACTTCTGGCTTTTTCTGCTCTGTCTTCACACTCTCCAGGGCTCCATTCCTCCCCTGGTACTGAGGAATCCAACCCCCAGCTTCCTGTATGCTCGGCAAGCACTCAATCCCGGCCATTTCTTAACCCTTTTAAAAGTCCTTACTACCTCACTCTTTTGTCACCCTCAGCAGGATTTGGCTTCTCAGCTTACCTTGCTACCTGCAAGTCCTGTGAGCTGAAATTCTGACTGCCTGATTTTCTTCTGAGGCCTATCTTTTGAAGGCTTTAAAAAACATTCCACCCATGATTTGTTAAACTGACAAAGCAAATTTTCCCAGGACAACAGCTTAACCAAAAATTAAACTCTGGCGGTGTGGAGCAAGGAGGCATAAAGTTTCTCATGGAAAACAGTGACAAGAAACGTTACCTTTTGTGTGTGTGTGGGGGGGGATGTTTTTTAAGAGGAAAAAGGCAATTGAATGTTCATTGATGATACATACCACTTACTAGCTTTCTAGTTAAATAAGTTAATAAACTATTTCTACAAGGGACTTGTTGCAAAAATCACAACATGTACTCTGGGCAAAGAATCATGGGACAAGAATAAAAAGATGTTTCCAATTCCTACATTGAAGCCTGAGTCAGGATTTTTTTTCCCTCCCCTGTTGAACTATAGTTTTCAAAAGCCCAACGCTTGCTTTCTCAGTTGTCAAACGGACCCAATTAATTTGAGCTATTTAAAAATCAAATAACTCCATTTATAACAGACCAAAAAAAAGTGCTTCTACAATTAGAGGGAGGGGGTGAGGCGTATTTACACCTCACTTTGACCATGCTGGGGGTAGGGGGGTAGGGGTGCTTATTTTTACTTTTGTCACGTTTGAGGGGATAAAAGGGAAAGGCACCATCCAGCTTGGGGGGGGGGAGACAAAGGAAATGCAAGCCACATCCTTGCCCAGGGACCCACGGTTATCTAACTGCACAGGGGGAGTGCGGCCCCAGGGGGCTTCTGAACGCCTAGGGCTGCGGTCGGGCCGGCCATGTCCCCCAAACCCTGCGGAGGAGGGGGTCCCCCATCCCCCCACCACCTCCACAAGAGAGCCCCAAGAGGGCGGGGCCCCGCGGTGCGCGCGCGCCCTCAGGGCCAGCCCAGCAGTCCTGGGGCTGTTTGCTGAGGAGGCCCGGGACAGGTCACCACGCGGCCCGGACTATAAAAGGGGTGGCACCGCTCACTCTCGGCCCCTTCAGAGAAGAGCGGGCGGCCCCGCGGCGCCCTCCAGCTCCCGCCTCCCCTCCGCGCGCGCCGCAGGCCGCGTGCCACGTGAGCCGAACGCCCCCTAAGCCCCGCCTCTCTGAGCTGCGCGCGCACAACGGACGCCTGGCCGGCGTCGTGTGACTTGGTCGGCGCGAGCGCGTGGCTAGCGCTCCTCTCGCGCCACTTCCGCCGCAGCTCTGCTTTTAGGTTCCGGGGCGTCCGAGAGCTCCAGAGAGGGAGGGAGGCAGAAGGGGAGGGGGCGTGGCCCGCGGGTGGTCACGCGCGGCGCGGCGCGGCGCGGCCTGGCCTCCGGGATGGAGGAGGCCGGAGCGGCGGTGGCCGCGACCGGAGAGGCCGAGCTGAACTGGTCCCGCCTCAGCGTGTCGACCGAGACGCTGGAGTCGGAGCTGGAGGCGCGCGGCGAGGAGCGGCGCGGCTCCCGGGAGGCGCTGCTGCGGCTGCTGCTGCCTCACAACCGTCTGGCGTCGCTGCCGCGGGCCCTGGGCAGCGGCTTCCCGTACCTGCAGCTGCTGGACGTGAGCGGCAACGCGCTGACGGCGCTCGGGCCCGAGCTGCTGGCGCTGAGCGGCCTGCGCACGCTGCTGGCCCGCAACAACCGGCTCGGCGGGCCCGGCGCGCTGCCCAAGGGCCTGGCGCGGTCGCCGCTCTGCCGCAGCCTCCAGGTGCTCAACCTCAGCGGCAACTGCTTCCAGGAGCTGCCGCCCGAGCTGCTGGAGCTGCGCGCGCTGCACACCCTCAGCCTGGGCGGCAACCAGCTGCAGAGCATCCCGGCCGACATCGAGAACTTGCAGAGGTGAGCGAGACATGTCCTCGATGGGCCGTGGCGGGGGGGGGGGGGGGGCGGGGGGGCCCGGAGGTGGGGGGGGGAGGGGAAGACACGCCGGTCATTTGTCACCTAACTTTGTCTTTGCGAGTTCGAGTCCTGCGGGACTCGAAAGTTAAGACCTATTAAGATGGCAGCCGGGCGCCCGTCCCGTGGCGCGCGCCTGTAATCCTAGCTACTCAGGAGGCTGCGATCTAAGGATCACGGTTCAGGGCCAACCCCGGCAGGAAAGATAGAATCTCCGATTAAAAGCCCCCAAAGCGCGATGAAGAGCCGGAGCTCAATTGGTAGAGCTCTATCTAGCCTTGGGGAATGGGGGTGGGGGGAAATGCCCCGGGATAGCACCTCGGCCCTGAGTTTAGTTAGTTAGGCCTTAGGACTGGCCACAGAAAGAAAAGAAACTGCCGATGTCACAGTGTTTCGCCCGGTGCAGATTTCCCAGGAAGGCTTATTTTCTCCTCCTCCTTCTTTCTTCTTCCTTCTTTTTCTTCTTCTTTTTTTTTTTGTCTCGTTTCCTGTCTTTGTTGAATCTCAGGAGTGAGCCGAACAGAGGGGGTGGGGTACTCATTAACGGATGTAAATCTAAGGTCATCACTTCCTTGCTCAAAAATCTCCAGTGGTTTTTCCATGCCTGTAGATCAAAGTGCGAGCCTTTTGCTCTGACCTGCCTCCTTCTTTCCCCTGCAAGTCCAGCAGTAAAGTACCCTTTAAGTACCCTTTGTGGAGTTAGTGAACCATGCATTTTCCCAGCACATAGGGGAAATGGCTTGCAGGTTCCGGAGCACGTAGACAACTCTGGCCGAGCCCCTGAATGCATGTAGAACCCCTCAATACACGCACGGGTCCTTTTGCCTGAAGTGTGTTCTTCCACCTGGCAAACTCCTATTTGTTATTCAAAACCCTTTACTGCTGCTCCCTGCACAATTTGTGCTTAGGTACCACATTTGCCTCGCTATTAATTACAATGCCTTGTCTACAGGAATTCTCTCACCTACTGGACTGATTATTCAATAAATGAGTATTGCATTTAATGGAAGGATGAAGTAGAGATACTGGATACTAAGTGTGCTCTAAAAGTCCCCCTTCAGGGGACTGAGAAGTAGAAACAAAATGAGGCTATCTTCCATCTGTAAAAACAGTTTTACCTCCTTTATTGAGCTGTCAGAGATAAACCGGGCTGTTTGAGCTGAAGGAACCTTCTGGATAAGTGCAGTAAAAAGAACATTGGTCTGGGAATGAGAACTCTTGGCCTCCCAGCCTGGGGCAAGTTATCTGATACTTCCTAAGGTCTGTTTACTAATCTGCAAAATGAAGCAGTTCATCTGAGTAATTGTCTAGGTGCTGGGAAGGATATGGTAAATGTGATCCTATCATTGTGGAGCCTAGATACAAGCAGAGAAACAGACATTTTTAGCCTCATTATTTAATTACAGTAGCTATATGTTCTGTGAAGACTTGCAGAATTACTTGGGGCAAAATAACAGAGAAACTTGACCTGGTTTGGTCCTTGAGCAGGTGACATTTAAATTGAGCTTTTGAAGGAAGAGTATAATTATGGTGTGAAGGTGGTGGAAATCAATCTAGGTAGAAAGAACTGCATGTGAAAGCCCCAGGCTGCTGGATTTAGATTTCATTCTTAGTGCATGGAAGTGCTGTTACTGTGTAGGAGTGGAGTCAGAAGACTGGAAGTGAAAGGCATTTAGAAAGATGGTCAGTAGTAGTATGAGAAATAGTAGTTTATCAGTGTACTGAAACAAGAGAGGGAAGAGTTGGGACACAGTGAGAGGTAAAATTGACAGGTCTTGGTTCCTTTTAACAGTTACAAACATCTCATTTGAAGTTTGATATAACAAGAAACTCAGGGCAAGGATTTCTATCAGATGGAAAAAGAAGTAGCCAAAATACATGTGCCAGAAGATTAAACCTGGCTTAACAAAGCAATGTGACAGTCAGGTGTCTGTGACTCACACTGGTAAATGGAATCCTAACTACTTAGGAGGCTGAGATCTGTAGGATGGAGATTCAAAGCAAGCTGGGCAGTGTTAACAAACATGTTCTCCAAGAACCACTGGCGTCATAATGATAGACATGAAAATAAAGCAGAAGGCAAATTTTACTTCTGTAGAATGATGTACCATCAGCCAGAAATCTGGCAAGCAAGCACACAGAGCAGGCAGATTTCTCCCTTATTTATCCCTAATGCAGAAGGCCCTGTCCCTCTACTCAGATTGGTTGAGGTCAAGTTCACAATCTGCTTGCAATTGGCTAGTTTGAATAGGGTAACATATATTTACATAAGGTGACCATTAAAAGACTTTGAAATAAGATTAACAGTACACAAGTAATTTCAAAACATCCTCAACTTCTGCTATTTCTTGAACATTCTGAGGTGTGTCTTCTGAAATATGTCTTAATTCCACCTTGGAAAAAGCAGTTAAGACAAAAACCTTACATTTCAAAACTCCTTCCTTATCCCAAAGCAGTCCCTCTTTCACTTTCAAGCCAAGGCAGGAACTTTTAAGTAACATACTTTGATAGAAAAGACTTTTTTTTCTCACAAGCAGGAAAAGTCTGAGAATCTTATTTCTAATTGATACCCCCTACCCTCACCCCAAAAAAATTAGAAATGGAGCCTTGGCTCAATTAGTATAGCTTTGAGGAAAAAAGTTCAAGCACAGTACCCAGGTCCTGAGTTCAAGCCCCAGAACTGGCACAAAAGAAAGAAAAAAGAGTATGGCTTGTTGCAGTGGTATAAAGTGCTTGCCTAGCATGTTCTAGGTATGAAATGCTCTTAAGTATGGAATATTTAAAATGCCCTGTGGTAGAGCCCAGTCATGGGTGCTCAGTATGTACTTTAAAACTTCTCATGATTCTGTGAGGTGACAGAGAAAGTAAGTCTCAATAAAGCCAGTAAGTGGTGGAACTGGACTTGACCCCTGGGGTCTCTGATATCAAACCCATGAATTTTCCACAGTAGAAAGTAGAGCTAGAACATTTTTTGTTGTAGTTTTTTGTTGTTGTTGTTTTGTTTTGTTGCCAGTCATAGGGCCAGAACTCTGGGCCTGGGCGCTGTCCCTCAGCTCTTCAACTTAAGGTTAGCATCTACCATTTGAGCTACAATGCCACTTCTGGCTTTTTTTGCTTGTGTGGTGCTGAGGAAATTGAACCCAGTGCCTCATGCATGCAAGGCAAGTGCTCTACTACTGAGCCACCTTCCCAGCCCCCAGAACATTTTTTTTGGTAGCATATGTCATCAGGAGGATTGGTCCAAGTCAATCACTGCTTGACCTTATTTTCTGGACCTAGGACTGCTGTCCATGGCTGTTGTTCTTGGCTCAGTAATATGTAGAATTTTTTACACCCATGTTTCTACTTTTTGGTTCTATCCCCTATTTCTCTTTATTGATAGAAACCAGTAAAAGTTTAGACCATGAACTCTGGTTGAATATAGGCCTAAAGGGTAATGCAGAATGATCCCCTAGAGATAAAACCAGCCTTGGTAACAACCTGATCCACCTGCTTCCTTTTACTAGTGAGGAAACTGAGATTACATATTTGTAACTTACTGAAGCCAGGTAGTGTCAGAGTTAGTTTTTGGCTCAGTCTAAAACACTGCTAAGCCTTACCATTGATTGAGCTGCCATTGAGCTAAATGGGTTACTTTTTAAGCCAGGCTTACTATTTTGGAGCATTCCAATATGTAAACTGGGCATGAGAGTGCACCTGTAATCCCAGATACTCAGAGGATTATGATCCAAGGTAGACACAAGCCACAAGCAAGAGACTCTCAGAAAACCTGAAGCAAAAAGTCTAGAGTTTGTGGCTCAAGTAGTAGAGCAATAACAAGTACATTGGTGCAGAGTTCAGGCCGCAGTTCTGAAAGGAAAGAAGCTAAATGTTATGCACAATATGTTATCTATGAAAACTCGTCCTTTCCCCACCCATCATTGTTCCAGGAAGGAACAGCTGCATTTTCATTCTTCATTTAGTGATGTCATTGACTGCTCAGGTTTAGCAGGGAGGTTTTCACAAGCTATTGATACTTTTCCTTGATGGCAAAAATCTTTATAAATAAATATATACATTAGTAATAAATAAAGTTTCTGAAAGTTTGCTTTCAAAGTATAACAAATAAGTAGTGCTGTAAGCCTTATGTTTTCACTTCATGTTCTTGCAGCAAATTACACTGTCAGTGTGAACTGAAGGTTGTGAATGTATATTCTGTCCACTAAAATGTGAGACTGTTGTTCAGAAAATAAGTTTGTTTGGCTTTGACATGAATTTCTTTTGCTTTATGTGATGAAAAAGTAGGAATAATTTGTATTTTGACCTATTTCTTCTTCTAAATTCCTCAGTTGGCTTAGACTTTAATTAAGGAAGAACTTAATAATTTATCACCACTGGACAAATTGGAAGTAAATGAAAGAAAGCTTCAGTGCTTCTTGGCATCAGGGTGCTAGATGTTTATGGAGAGGGTTTGAGCCCATTGGTCATTGGTACTTTTCCATAGTCTTTTTTGAAGGAATGCCTTTCTTTTTCTGCTACTGGCCTCTCTTTCACTGTTCAGTTTGGCTTTAAAAGCTAAGTACAAGGATTTTTGTCAAAACAGAAGTTAAAAATAACTGCCCTGGAATGTTTGGAAGCTAGTGTATACTAAATGGGTATCTTAGGAAAGAGACAGGCAACTGGAAATGATAATAGCATGTGGTAAAGTTTGAATAAAAATGCTTGTTCTGGTTTAGATGTGAGTGTGTAGTTAGTGGCTGTCAGTTTGTTTCTACATCTGCCCTTGTAAGGTTTTAGTTTGAGACAAGCCCAGATAATAACATCTAGTCCTGTGTTTCCCTGTGAATGTATACTGTGCTTTAAAGTGCTATGGCAAACAATAAATTTTAAATGATTTAATAGGGAAGACAATGTTATAAATATAGCCTCCAAGAATCACTGGAGTCAGAACAAGAGACACAAAAATAAAGAATTGTCTCAATAAGCAAATTTTACTTCTGCAGAAGAGTGTTGGCAAAGCAGGCACACCAATGCGGGCATGCAGCTCCCTGTTTATCCCTAATGTGGAAAGATCCTGCCCCTCTGCTCAGCTTGATTGAGCTCAAGTTCATAATCTGCTTGCAGTTGGCTAGTTTGAATAGGGTAAGGTGTATTTACATAAAATGACTATTAAAAGACTTTGAAATAAGATTAACAGTACACAAGTAATCTCAAAACATATCCTTACCCTCTAGTATTTCTTGAGCAATCTGAGATGTCTTAATTCCATCTTGGAAAAACCTTGAAAAATCCTTCCTAATTTTTTCCTTTCTGTACTTGTTGATATTGTCTTAGCAGAATAATGGACAAGATTGGAGCCACCTGTCAAAAGAAAGAACTTTCAAGCAACCAACTTTGATCGAAAACAGTTTTTCTTATACTACCTTAAGAAAATTTGATATTTAAATGTATGATTCTTCCTGTACTCATTACCTGACTTAAGTAACTGTAACCCCTCTGTATATCACCTTAAAAAGTTTGAAATAAAAATGTGAGGTCCAAAATTTTTTTTTAAATGAGACACTCATCTCAACCAAAAGCTTAAACTGGTAGTGTGTACTTGTGATTCTGAGACATAGGTAGGAGGTTTGCAATCCAAGGCTGATCCTGATTGAAAAATAACTAATCCAAAATAGGCCTTGAAGCATGGCTCCAGTGATTAAGTGAAACTGTGCCTGCCTACCAAGCATACGGCCTCACATGCAAATTCCATTGTCACCTAAAAACTAGGAGGAATAAGACTGACAATACAAATTTAACATGCTGGTTAACATGATCTGATTGGTTATACCCACCAATTTCAAAAGAGGATTTTGAGTATATCATTTTAAAATGAAGAATACACTCACGTGTGCACATACACACATAAAGTGTCCTTCCCCTTTCCCTTTCTGCTTATTTATGGCTTTACTTTCTGTTTTTGTTTTTTTGGGTCCATTCGTGGGCCTGAACTCTGGGCCTGGGCGCTGTCCCTCAGCTCTTCAGCTCAAGGCTAGTGCTCTACCACTTGAGTTGTGGCTTTACTTTCTTGGACTTCAGTTAATAGGTCCACTGTAGTCCAAAAATATTAAATGAAAAATTTCAGAAACAGACATTTCCTAAGATTAAAATTGCTCTGCCTTCTGTGTAGCATGTTGAAATCTTGAGCCATCCCATCCTAGATGTAGAGTGCTTTGCAGCCAGTGTGGCCACTGTGTATGCCACTTAGTAGTCAACAAGATCACGGGATATTTGACTTTAACAATGTCCCCAAATCACCAGAACGGTGATGTTAGCAACTCTAAAGAGAGGCCACAAAATGTTTCCTTAAAGTGAGAAGGTGGAAATTCTCAAGGAAAGAAAAAAATTATATGCCACAGTTGCCATCAGTGATGAGAATGAATCATATGGTTGTGAAATTGTGAGGAGACATACAGAAATTCATACTCGTTTTGCTGTCACCCAAACTGCAAGCATTAGGATAAAAGCTTAGTTAAGATGGGTAATGCAGTGAGGTAGAGAATTTGGTTCTATCCCTGTTTTCAGGAACTGGCTTGGGCCCTTACAGTGTGCTAAGCTGAGAGGCCACTATAATTAAGAGCTCACTAAATGGTATGACACCAGCTGGGAATTCATAAGCAAAGTCACTCACAAGCATCCCATTGGAATGTCACTTGGAGAGCAAATGAAAAGTAGAAAGAGATGAAAAGGAGGTTAGATCCTGAAGTTCAAACTAAGAGAAATCTAAAGAAAATGAAGAATGATAAGAAGACAATGAAGTAATAGTGGCTGAAATTTCAACAATTAAAGAAAAAGCTCTCTAAACTGATATTTGACTCATTGAAGTCAATCTTTAGACTAGTAAAGGGAAAATGCTCAGTGCTCCTAATGAGTAAAGAAAAGAAGCAGAATATCTACAATGGAACAGTAGTACCATTGACTTAATGTGATCATGAAATAGCAACTTCCTAATGTTAAGCTAAGGATAAGTGGCTGTCCTAGAATTTTGTGCCCAGCTAACCTAATATTCAAGAGTGAGAGAAGTCGGGAGCCAGTGACTCAAGCATGTGAGGCTGAGAATACGAAGATCTAAGTTTGAGAACAGTTGGGCCTCTTTCTTGGTCACCATGTTCCTCCATCTGAAGAATCACGTCCATGGCCACCTCATTGTCCCTCTTCTTCCCTAGAGCACTTACAGCTCAGCCTTTAGAGAAATGCATTTCCCCTCATTACAGTACAAGCTTCCTCTGAGCAATACTTGATTGCTTGATTACACTGTAACAGTCTTACATGGGCATTTTGTTTTTGTTTTTTGAATTGAAAAACATTAATATAAGCAGTAATACAAAGTGATAAAATATAAGCACATAGAATAGAGTGATATTTACAAAGCCTATATATGTGTGTGTGTGTGTGTGTGTGTGTGTGTGTGTGTGTGTGTGTGTGTGTGTGTGTGTGTGTGTGTGTGTGTATATATATGAAATGTGACCTTAAAAAGTCGGTTTTGGTGTTTTTTTTTTAAAATGGTTTTGTTGTGATTATAAAGCTGATGTACAGAAAGGTTACAGTTACATAAGTCAGGTAAAGAGTACATTTCTTTTGGGACAGTGTCATCCCTTCCCTTGCTCTCTCTGTTTTTCCCCTCCCATTCCCACCCACAAGTTGTCCAGTTCATTTTCAACATAGTGTCTAGTGAGTACTACTGCTGCATTTGTTCACTCTTCTGTCTCTCCATTTCTGTGACATGGGCATTGTGTATGTCATATAGTAATACTGCTCTGAAAGATGATGAAGAAAGTAACTGACTCAGAGTTTGTACAGGTAAGTTGTGAAACTAGAATTGAATGAAAGAAATGCTAACAAAAACAAAAGTGAAGTTAAGGGTGGTGGTACAGTCTCTTGGGACTGAGAAAGGAAGGATTTAAGCTATTAAGGAACACTTTACCAAGGTTTGGATAATCAGGAATTTTGAGTGCAGTATGCTTCTATATAGAGAGAGCAAAATTCAACAACTAAAGGGTAGAAGCTAACCAGTAAGAAAGGAAAATAAGAGAAATTCATTGTTTGAATTACTGTTGACAAGTTCAATACACACATAAAATCATGAACAAATGTAGACTCTACTAGAGGTTAAGAAGGAACAAAGTTATGAAGAAATTTATTTCTACAGGGTTTGAATTCAAGACCTTGCATTGCCAGACAAGTGCTCTGCCACTAAGCCATGTCTTCAACCTTTTCTGCTTTGGCTATAGCATCTTGAGGAGTTGTTTTGTTTTGCCTAGAACTGATTGGACACTGATCCTCCTACCTATGGCCTTCTGCCACTTCTTGGGCCCCAAATTAGTGCATGGGGCCTACATCTTGTATGTGTCTTTAAATGTATTCCTGGCAATTCTTACTTTGGGAGTTTAGGTAAAAGTTTCCTAGGCTATTTTCTTGCACTTTGAAAGTATTTTTATTATTTATTTATTTATTTATTTTTGCCAGTCGTGGACCTGAACTCTGGGCCTAGGTGCCGTCTCTCAGCTCAAGGCGAGCGCTCTACTGCTTGAGCCACAGCGCCACTTCCGGCTTTTTCTGTTTATGTGGTGTTGAGGAATCGAATCCAGGGCCTTATGCATGCAAGGCAAGCACTCTACCACTGAGCCACCTTCCCAGCCCTGAAAGTATTTTTAAAAGAATAATCGTTCTCATCAGTAGCAGAGTAATAGAAGACAAAAGTAACAGTAATGGAAAAGTTCTGTATATACTCCTTTGTACATTGTCTCTATTTTTGTGTGTATTATATGAACTGATTCTACTATCCCTGCAAAAGTCGTCTAGAAGGATCCTTTCTACAGCCATTCATTTAATAGCTATGCATGTAATGCATGTGGTCTAAAATACCAATTTGTTAGTAAACAAGATAACTCTGGAACTTTGACTTCACATATAATTTATTCAGCCTCTGAAGAATGTACTCACTAACACAAGAGCAAAGATGAAATGTAGAGACACCTCAGGTATGAATCGCTGTGTCTTAGTGGTTTTCCGTTGCCTATTATATCAAGCCCACACATACCACATGGAATTGAGTTCTTTGCTTTAAAAAGTGCTCATGGAGCCTTCCAAAGCCTCCTCTGATGTTTCCTCTTCCTCTCAGTGACATGGCTAATTCAGCCTAGTTGTAGTCTCAGCAATTTGGGGAAGCTTTTTCCAATCAGAATTGCTGTGAGTTCTTCCCTTCCCCTGGCCTGTCCTGTCCTGGCCTGTCCTTTCCTTTTATCCTGTATAATTTGTGAATTGTTCTTTTTAATCATATAATGCTTTATGTTGGAACTTAACATGTATTTAATTACAGCACTGTCTAACATTGGTAGGTCTTGGTTGCTGTGCTATGGTATCCACTCCCTAAAGACTGGATTATTTCTCTAGAAACTGGATGGCACATTACAAATCTTATTAGGATGTTTCTAAATGAATAGAAGAAATGTGATAATTACAGTAGACACAGTGGATTATTTTGTCTATTATTTACTTTCTTTTTTGTCTCCATTCATTTCCTTTTGCAGTTTAGAGTGTTTGTATCTTGGAGGAAATTTCATCAAAGAAATCCCACCAGAATTAGCAAATCTGCCTTCTCTGAACTACTTAGTATTATGTGACAACAAAATCCAAAGTGTGCCTCCTCAGCTTTCACAGTGAGTAGTTTCATTCAGCTCATATATATACAGACATATTTGTTTAGAAATTGTCTTAATCCTCCCATGTTTTCTTTATTTTTAATTTAAATTTTTTCATAGTACTGGGGATTGAATTCAGGGCCTTGGGCTTGCTGTACAAGTGCTCTCCTACCTGAGCCACGCACCTAGCCTATTTTTGCTTTAGTTATTTTTAGGCAGGCTCTCATGGTTTTTGCTGGATGGTGATTCTCCTACCTCTGCCTCCTGTCTAGTCAGGATTACAGGTAGGTAGTACCTTGCATAGTTTGTTGAAATACTATCTCACAAACTTTTACCTGGGCTGGCCTGCTTCCAAGTAATGATTACGTGCGTGAGCTACTATTCCTAGCCTTTTATGTTTTATATATAGAAAAGAATTAGGATCCCGGCATGATAGTACATAATTATAACCTAGCACTTGGGAGGCTGAGGCAGCACAGGGGTAGCCTGGGCTACATAGAGATCCTTTCAAAGAGGAAAAAAAAGGAATGAGAGAGGAGTGGAGAGAAGGGAGAAATGAAAAAGAACTAGGTAGTCTCAAATTAAACGTCATAATTTTAGCCTAGAGGTTGCTGTGAGTAAGGTTATTTTTAATGTTCCTTTTTGTTTTGTTTTTTACTTTTGTGGGGGTCCTATGGTTTGAATGCAGGGCCTACATGATGTCCTTGAGCTTCTTTTGCTCAAGGCTAATGCTCTACCACTTGAGCCACAGTGCTACTTCCAGATTTTTTTGAGTAGTTTATTGACATAAGAATCTTACAGACCTTTCTGCCTGGTCTGGCTTGGAACTGTGATCCTCAGATCTGAGCCTCCTGAGCTAAGAGTACAGGCATGAGCCACTAGCACCTGGCTTTTAATGCTATTTTTAAAAGCTCTAGTTTATTCCTCAGTATTTGTTCAGTTTGTTTTCTATTACCAAAAATATATAGTATTATTTGGCATAGATTTCCCAGGTTTTTATGTAACTTGATAGGATATGAAGAACTCTTTTAAAAGACTTTGTAACATTCTTACTGTGTCTGAATCCTATTGTAACATTCCTATTGTATCATGAATCTTTAGGTGTCTGAATATAGTATGTCTCCCAAATCTTAAAATTTAGCATTCACCTCAGCCAGGACATTAGCTTCTCATTTTCCTCCCTTACCCTTCATCATAGTTGTTTATTCTTACAAGGAGCTCTGCACATGGACACACACTTGTGCTCTCCTACCTTTGTAGTAGGTGTGCTGCTCCCAGCCACTGATTCTGTGCTGCCTTCATTCCAGGTTGCATTCCCTTCGTTCCCTCAGTCTTCACAATAACTTGCTGACATACCTGCCTCGAGAGATCCTCAACCTTATTCATTTGGAAGAGCTGAGTTTACGAGGAAATCCATTGGTTGTTCGTTTTGTTAGGGATTTAACCTATGACCCTCCCACTCTCCTGGAATTGGCTGCACGAACCATTAAGATCCGCAATATTTCTTATACTCCCTGTGATCTTCCTGAGAATCTTCTTAGATACTTGAGTTCAGCCAGCAATTGCCCAAACCCAAAATGTGGAGGTAAGTAAATTCAGGGTTTGTGTTTTCTTAGCTATTTTAAAATTTTGAAGATCTAAGTGTTGTTGGGCTTTTGTTTTACCGTACTAGATTTGACCTCAGGGCTGCACACCTGCTAAGTAATGGCTGTACCACTAGAGCAATGTCCCCATCCCTTTTTGCTTCACTGATTTTTCAGATAGTCTTGTGCTAGCCTGAATCACAATCCTATAGTTTCCCAAATAGCTGAGACCATAGATGTGTGCCACCATACCCAGCTTTTTTGTTGTTGAGATGGGATCTCATTAACTTTTTGCTCAATTTGTCTTTGAATTGTAATCCTGAATTTCTGCCTCCTGAGTAGCTAGGATTTCAGGTGTGTGCCAACTTCTGACCTAAGTGTTGTTTTAATTAAGGCTTCTTTTAGAAAAAGAAGATAAAACATTTCACCCTCTTAGTTTTCTTCCTCCCTTCCTTTTCTAAAGTTCTTTTTTTGTTTTTTAGCAAGTACTAGGTTTTGAATCTGGACCTTGGATATCACTTAACTGGCACTTCAATATTTGAGCCATGCCTCCAGCCCAGCTTTTTGCTGGTTATTTTGGGGTTGGAGTCCCAGGACTTTTCTGCCCAGGCTGGCTTGAATCATAACTAAGATTACAAGTGTGATCCACAGCTCATGGCTCCTTTTAAAAAATTCTTCTTGTAATATTTTTTGGCTTCATACAAGGAAAATATCTAGGAACTGCCATTTTGTCTAGGAATTATTATAAAGTATGATAAAATATGAAAAAAGTATGATAAAGTGAATAGAAGTATTCAAATCATTTTTAGAATGTCTGGAGACTTCATGTTTACTTGGAGGACATTTTGTACAACTTAACCATTCTTTGTAGCAGTTCCCTTTATAAGGGAGGTGATTAAACATGTGTGAGAATACGCTGAATGCATGCCCATTTCAGAATGAATGTACCCTAGAATTTGTAAATTTGAGTTTAGAGCATTTGGAAAGAAAATAAATGGGCTATTATAGGGCAGAGTAATGTAAATATCCCAAAGGATTCAAAATATTAGAAACTAAAGGAGAATGATCTTTTAAAGATCTCCTTCCAGATCTTTGATCTGGGATAAGGCATTCTTGAGAGATTTTGTTAGGTTTTGGAGAAGTGAGACAGGATGGGAAGCTTTTCAAGTCAGAGCAAAGTGGAGGCAGCACTGTGTGGAGCCAAGTGTCACAGTTAGGGCAGTAAGAGAGACAAGCATGAAAGGTCATTGGAGCCTGGTTCTAAAGGACCTGAAGGATCAAGGTGTATGTGCTAATGAGTAGTAGCTCATTTTATTTTGACTTCCTCATAAAATACTAAACAAATCTATTTCAATGGGAGGTATAAAACAGGTTTTAGTGCTGAGAATATATGTCATATGAAGCAAAATCAGGTGAGATTTTCCCCTTAAAATCTTGCCTTAAAACTGTTACAAGAATTAAATTCCTCAAAGATTATTACAAGGTGTAAAAGATACATTGGGTTTAGGAAAGAAAGGATGGCATGGGGCTGAGAAGGTGGCTCAGTGGTAGAGCACTTGCCTTGCATGCATGAGGCCCTGGGTTCGATTCCTCAGCAACACATAAGCAGGAAAAAAATCCGGAAGTGGTGCTATGGCTCAAGTGGTAGTGTGCTAGCCTTGAGCTGAATTGCTGAGGGACAGCGCCCAGGCCCAGAGTTCAGGCCCCACGACCGGATCCAAAAAAAAAAAAAAGAAAGGATGGCATTCTCTGGGCCATTTCTGGCCTTAGAAGTGGAGGTTGCAGTTTGTGTTCAATTGAATGCTTAAATGTTCCCTGGCCTGGGGTCGGTCTCCCTGTACTGCAGTGGCAGAGGAACACACAGGAACCAAGGCCTTCTGGTCTAAATCTCCTGTCCTGTGCATTCATCCTCTTCTGAATGTGGACCTCTTCACCAATTTCCTTTTCTCTCAAAAAACTTCTTAACTCCCTCACAGTATAACCCCTGTTTTCACTGTATTTGATGTTGGTATAATGTGTGGAGGGGAAGAGAAAAAACAAATCAGTTAAATAGGAATACAGGAGGACCCATTGCAACAATGAGACCTAAAACTCATTATGTTGAAAAATGAACTTTACAACTTTGGTGGGGGGGGCAGTGGGAAGGGATAGGAAGGGGCAAAGGAGGAGGCAACAATGCTTGATAAGAAATGTACTGGGGGCTGGGAAGGTGGCTCAGTGGTAGAGCGCTTGCCTTGCATGCCAGAGACCCTGGATTTGATTCCTCAGCACCACATAAGCAAAAAGAAAAAAGCCAAAAGTGGCGCTGTGGCTCAAGTGGTAGAGCGCTAGCCTTGAGCTGAAGAGCTGAGGGATAGTGCCGGGCCCAGAGTTCAGGCCCCAAGACCGGACCCAAAAAAAGAAAGAAATGTACTTATTATCTTGCCCATGTAATTGTAACCCCTCTGTATGGTATTTTCACAATTAAAAAAAAAAAAAACCTTTTAATTGTACTGACGTGCCTTAGGAATGCTTTTTAAATTGCTATTTTAAAATTTGAACTATATAAAATGAACAATTACACTATTTCATAACCCTGAAATGCTTTTTTGAACTATCGTTTTATATTTTGTGAGATGTTTTCTCTTTCTATAAATGACAAGGTATAGATTGTACTATTTTGGCACATTGTGATTCCATCATCCATCTGTTTTCAGGAAACTAATAGTTTTATTATAGTATTATCAGTTTGTTGATTGACTAGCTTGTAGAATGTATCTTTAGTATTTCAAAGTAATACCACATAAAAGGTTAGGGTGAGAGTACCAAGGGAAAGAGCAGAAATCACCAATTCTCTGCTCGTTATTCGTCCACATCTTTTCATTCCGGTCTTTTAGGTGGTGAACATGTTGGGGTGGGACTTGAGAATTCCTCTCAGAGACAGTGAGGCCCACAATTCTAGGTAGTCCGGTTACACTATGACCACTGAGACAGCCTAAGCTGCGCCATATCCTTTTAATGATCTGCTGAAGCCAGAGGCATTTTAGCTTTTACTTCCTCAGTCCTGCTTACATTTCTGCTTCTCTAATGGCTACAGCTGAGGAGCTGTAAATTAACAGCCAGAAGAGCTGAGCACTAGTTTGAAGTCTCTTAGAGACTAAGTGAGATCATCTGAGAATCAGCTTTAGACTATATAAGCACAAGAACGTACCAAAAGTCATCTCCTTTCTGCTTGTTTCCCTTATATTAATTATTTCTTTAAGATCATTAAAAGAGGTGTTGGTTTTGTTTGGTTCAGTTTCCTGATGCTTTTAAGTACCCTGTAATCTGCATCAGCCACTGGCCAACTCACCCAAGGGGGGAGAAAAAATGTAAGAACATAGTGTCCTTTCTAACCTTCTGACTCAAATCTGTTAGGATAAATCTTCTGGCCTTCCCTTTGCAGCCAGAATGTCCACTGTTCAGCCCTTCAGTATTTCTGTACAGTACTAAAGAAGCAACTACAGGGCTGGGAAGGTGGCTCAGTGGTAGAGTGCTTGCCTTGCAAGCCAGAGGCCCTGGGTTCGATTCCTCAGCACTACATAAGCAAAAAAAAAAAAAAAAAGCAAAAAGCCAGAAGTGGCGCTATGGCTCAAGTGGTAGAGCGCTAGCCTTGAGCTGAAGAGCTGAGGGACAGCGCCCAGGCCCAGAGTTCAGGCCTCATGTCCAGACCCACAAAAAAGAAAAAAAAAATAAAGAAGCAACTACTAATTCTGCTTAAGATGTCCCAAAGCTAAAACTTTGTGACATTTCTCCAGAACGCCGAAGAGAAGGTTGGCATACACAGTGTTCTTGGTTTCTACTATTTATTTGTATTTCTCTTCTCTAGGAGTCTACTTTGACTGCTGTGTCAGACAGATTAAGTTTGTGGACTTCTGTGGGAAGTACCGCCTCCCACTCATGCACTACTTGTGCTCTCCTGAGTGCTCCTCCCCCTGCAGCTCTGCCTCGCACAGCTCCACATCCCAGAGTGAGTCTGACTCCGAGGACGAAGCCAGCGTTGCTGCACACAGAATGCAGAAAGTTCTTCTTGGTTGAGCACAGGCATGGGGCCTGTGAAATAATAAAAAGCTGAGCAGAGAAACAGCTTGAAAAAACTTTGTTGTCCTCATCAAGAAGAGTACATGAAAGAAGAGTTTATATTCCATCTGCCTGTCCAGCTAGAATGAGTCCAGTTCCATGTTTAGATAGACTTCACTCTGAATGACAGTTTGCAGTGTTCACAGCAGGATGGTACATGCTGAAGAGCAGCCTGGGACCAGCTGCTGCTGCTGAGATGAGGAAAGTGAGCAATCATCAAGGCTTTGGCAGTGGGTTGAACACTAACTAGACCACAGAAGGAGCCTTCTCCTTATATTACTCATTTCTACATGACAGACCCATTCAAATGAACCCACAGGTAGTTACATAGGACTTAAGCCTTTCTGACCAAATAACTGCTAAAGAATATAACTTTTAAGTGGGATATTGAAACTTTTCTTTTGCTTTGTTCTATATGATGATGATTATTAATCTATATAGTCTAGCAATGACTGTTAAAGTGCCTTAATCATTCCAATGACATGGAATTTTATGCAAGAAATAATGCCAGAGAAACCTAAAACCTGACATACAGAACCCTTAAAAAATGCTTTAACAACTCAGTGAATCACACCGAGCCCACCGCCATTTTAACTTCTTTTTTGGTTTCAACATAGCAGTGATCCCTCTTCAAAAAAAAAAAAAATTTCTTAAATTATCTTTAAGTACTTGTACAAAGGGATTTCAATTCAACATGTCAGTTTATGAGTACAGAGCAGCAGTGAACCTGCTTGAACCAGTCACTTTATACTTAATGGGAGACCACAATCTTACTCAATCTGTTTATCATAAGACAGAATAATATATTTTGACAGAAAATTGTAGAGGACAAGCTAATTTGTGAGTGGGGGAAAGGTTAGAATTTGTAGCAGCCAAATATGACCCCCTTGCCTATGCTATTATTCTAAACTGTACCTTTGAAATATTTCCAAGAAAAACGAGTATGGTTAGATAAACATGACAAGAAGGCCAAAGTTGAAAGATTCTAAAACTGGTTTAACAATAGAACACTTGCAAAGTACTGATAAATAGCAAAAATAAAGAAATACTGTTTATTATACCTTTAAAGTGTAGGAGGAAAATAGCTCCGCAAATTATTGCCATTAGAAATTACTGAACTTTGATTAGCTAGTTTAATGTGCAATAGAATTGAACCGTAGTACAACTGTTAGTTCATGTAAAGAACACAATGCATGTAAAATGATTAGACTAGAACCTATAATGGCATAAATGTACAGGTCCGATTGCATTAGAATGCCAAGTGACCTCTTATAGGCACAATTAAGTTTCTGTATATATTATTTTTATTGTAGAATATCATAGAGGTAATTCAGGGTTTGTGTGTGTTTGTATGTTCATTCATGAAACATGAGAGTTTCATGACTGCAGTTGTGAGACGCTGCTATAGTGAGTCCCCTTACCTTCTCCTTGTTAAAGTGTAGTAAGATTTTTTTTTTATTATTTAGAAATGTTCTGCCTATATCTATAGAAGTAATGATTATATTGTATATTGTAAACAACAAGTAACAGAGTCTTTGCTTACATCTTCCACTGAGCCACACACAGCAGGCTGCAGACTGAAATCATAAAAGGTAAAGGTTGCTTAAGCAGTGCCTACATCAAACCTAAAATGCTTATGTAAATCACTCAGATTGATAACACCAAGTTTTTCTGGCTTAAATGCTTCTAAATAACATTTTTTTTCTGTGCTACTGGGATTTGACTGAGGACCTCATGCTTACTTGCTTGTTGCTTAGCTGGTTAAACAATGCTACCAATCTGGCTTTTTGCTGATTAATTGGAGGTGGAGTCTTGCAGACCTTTTCCTGCCTGTTCTGGCTTCAAACTGCTCTGGATCTCAGTGTCATGAGTAGCTAGGATTGCAGCATAACACAATACGACCCAGCTTCTACTTCTTCATGGACTATCAGCTTGACCTAAGTAATAGCTAGAGTAATCTTTTAAGAATTAGTTTTTGTAAAATAAATAGGTAAATATAGCACTTAGCCCTATGTACTCTTTCCAGCTTCCTATGAAGGAGGTATACTGCATTATCTTTAATAGAAATACATATAGCAGACATGGTTTCTAACCTGTGCCATATAATGTAGATATATACTAATAGTGGATGTTCTGTCAACAAAAAGTTCATGATCTTTACATGTTTTTAAAACGTAGGATCAGTGTGCAACTGTTTTTAATAACTTTGTATTTGTTTGGGAGGGATGCCAGAGATGAAATAGAGCCTTTGCTCATACAGGGCAAGCACTATTCCATTGAGCTCCAGCCCCAGCCTAACTTTGTTTTGATTTTTGTGTATTTGAGACAGGGTCTTGCTTGCAGGCTGGCCTAGAATTCTTTATGTAGCTCAGACTGTCCTTAACTAGTAATCTTTCTGTCTGTACCTCCCAAGTATTGGGATTATGGCCATATACCAAGAAGTCCGGCCTGTCTGGTAACTTGTAATGAAATCTACACTTTAGTTGTTAGTTTTATATTTTATTTCTTATTTTTGATCTTCTACATGGATGCTAGTAATGTATAGGACTTTCCTTGTTATAGAAATATAGAAGATGAGATAGAAAGGATTTGATCCTCTAGAAACAAGATGATCCTGAGTCAGACAGCAGACATATATGTATTGAAATGGCAGTACTATTATCTGAAATAGAAAGGGGTGCTTTGTACATTCTTAGTCATGTTTACCCCTAGAATCCAAATTGAGTTAGAGACATAGTCCTACACATTTAGGAAACAGGAATGTTAGCTAATATGTTATTTGGTGCCAGGGACCGATTGACACAGGGACCAATTATGCTCAGTGTTCCCTTTATTTGAGTAATAACAAAGGTAGATCCTTTTGTTTTATTATGTTATCAAGAGTCTCATTATGGAGTACAAGCTGGCCTCAAACTTGCAATCTTCTTGTCTTTGCCTCCCAATTGCTGGGATTATAGGTGTGGGCCACCTCACTCAGCTTTGTATTTTACTTCCAAATGTGTTCTGGAGCTGTCTTGTTCTAAACATCTTGGTATTAAAGTTTTTAAGTTGCTAACTTTAAAAATATATTTTAGACTCTACAACGAACATGAAAACATTTCTTGCGGTATAAAAACAAAGTCCACAGCCAGGAACTGGTGGCTCATGCTTGTAATCCTAACTACTCAGGTAGGTGAGATCTGAGGATTGAGGTTCAAAGCCAGCTTGGGCAGGAAAGGCTGTGAGAATCTTAACTTCAGTAAACTACTCAGAAAAAGCTGGAAGTGATACTGTGGCTCCAGTAATAGAGTGCTAGCCGTGAGTAAAATGAAGCCCACGGACAGTGCTCAGACCCTGAATTTAAGCTTAAAGGCCCGCACCCAAAAAAAAAAAAATCCACAGTAGTATAGAGTAATACTACAAATCAGTTCTATTCAACATTGTAAATGTCAAAATGCTGATGCTGGAAGGTTAGATTTTGTTTGTTTGGTAGTTTTTTTCTGGTTCTGGGGTATAAGGCCTCACTCACCCTCACCTGAGTTGGCCTGAAATTTATAATCTTCTAGTCTATGCCACCCAGGTAGCTGGGATTACAGATGTATACCACTGAGCCTAGTTTAAAATAAATCTTTAGCAACAAAGGGCAGAGAGAGAAGTCACACCCAAGGATATTCCTAAGCCAAGAAAGCCCTTTAAGGTAACTGAATTGTTTTATAAAGTTATTAAATGACCTACTATCATCTGAAAATCTTTATTACAATTATTTTATTGCCTTTATAACAGTTACTTAATACCTGCTACTGAGAGCTGGTCTTTATCTCTCAAATGAAGAGCCAGCAAGTGATAGATAGGATTTTCTTCCAGCCAACTTTGCTTCTCCTGCAGGGAGAAAGAAATACCTCATTAACCTAGAATTTGTGGTACAGCAGATAATCTTGGTTAATGTTTAGCTTTTCACTGTAGGAAAAAAAAAAGTAAGCAAATACTGACAGTTTGATCTTTGAAAACTTTTTTAGCAGTACTTATTTACATATTAGAGAAATGAATGGTTATTTGCTAAATTTCAGATGATCTCTTATAGGGAAAACTTTACCCTTTATAGTTCATACACAAAATTAGTTTAGCTATGCACAGTAAACTAGTTTAGTTAAAACCTAAATGATTAAGTAAAACCTAAACAATCCCCCATTCATCCAAAAGTAGAGATTTTATTATATCATAATATTACTCCTCATTTAATCCAAAGAGCTTTTAAATTTTGCTGGGTATTTAACCTCAGTAAAGGCTATTGTGTTGGCTTTTAGGCAGTATGGCCTATAATGCATAGTTCTAATTTCTTCTGCATAAAAGAAGCATACTTAACCATCACCTTCTCTATTTTAACACTAAATTCTATGTATCAACAGATTTAGTTTTTAACAAGTCATTTAATTTTGTGCTTTTTTATAGTTCTCATCTTTTAAAACATACCTATGTTGTTTGTGGTCAGAGGGTAATAAGTGCCTTAAAACCTCTATTGACCCAGGATTGGGGAAACTAGAGTGAGAGCCTCATGGTCTCTGGCCTTTGACTTGAGTGAGAAAGACTGATCTTGAGAGATTTTTTCCACCTGAAACAGGGCCTGTTGTATCAGTGTAGAACTTGTAGGGAGGTAACCTCAATACACTGCTACCGAAGGGCACTGTCATAAAGAACGGTACCTTGAAATAAAATGAGTGAAAGATGTTTCTTGGATTTTATTTCAAAAATGTGCCTGGTACCATAATAGGATAACAGCAATTTCTTTATATTACTCCCTTTATATAGCACATATATACCAACTCCACGTATATAGCGCAAACGTAGCATCAGACGTAGATATATTGATTGGCACTGTGAGATTTAGCATGCTTTGTCACTGATTTTTTTATTGTAGTATAGACTGAAAGAGGGTTTGTCTTCAATATTTTTACCTGTGAATGCATTTTAAAAATCCTTTTCTTGGTTCTAAGTTTATTAAGAATTGAAGTAAAGTTTTGAATAATAAACACTGCACATTGTTGAATCCATATTTACCAGGCAATTCTGATTTGGATGCTACGATTACTTACCTAGCTTGTTAGTCTCTAAGGGAAATAGTGTGAGATATGTTAAAATCTGTTAGTTCTAGGAAGGTTATTTATATGCTATCATACCAGAAAGCCACAGTGAAAGAACCATCCACATTCACCACACACTGCTTTGGCTTTGTTCTTTGGTTTTGAATAAATGGAGATAACACTGCTTTTTTTCAGTGTCACCTAGAGGAAGGAACTGGGACACTGCTATTCCTGGTATTGGAAACATTAAGACATTCTTTAATTTGTGTATATCTGATGTGTAAGAGAATCCCTTCACAAGTTTTGCTCATGAGTAGCATTCTACATTTGAGCTGCACCTGCAGTCCGTTCCACTGATCTTCGTGATTAACCTTGATGTGTTACTGAGAATGAGTATTATCCTCAGCAGTCACTTTACAATAGTTGTATAGAGACTTATGTTGAAGTTTGGTGCATTCTGACTCCATTTTATATTCATGATAAAATTATAATAGAAAAAAACCTTAGAATAACCAGTATTTTAACTTTTCATAAAGCTTGGGACTTCAGAGTATCAATAGAGGATGCTGAACTTTTACTTTGGTAAGATGACTGATCTAATTTCTTAATTTCTGTATTTGAAATATTTTAATTAGGTATGTAATTAAAGCCTAATAGTAAAAGTAATAAGTAATTCAGCAATATAATTCAAGAATAAAATTTTATTTTATGGATAAGATATAGTTTATTGTATCAAATTTAAATGTTACCTTATAATGGTAAATTCCTTAAAAAGAATATTTAAACTACTTTGAGTACTTCCTTCCCCCTCCAAAACATCAAAACATTGTAATCTTGCATTAACTAATATTTTATGTGAATTTTGCCTTATTAAACATTGTGCCTTATTTTATTAAGTTTTGTGAAATCCAGCTCTATATTGTGGAAAAATAACAGTATTTTATTCTTAATGAATATGAATTTACTCTTTAAAAATCTAAAATCCTTACAATGTTTATATTTGCCTATTATATTATTGCTTATCTGTTTATTGAACTCAATACATGAATCCCATAAAATTAAGTGTGTGCTAGCATTTATTCTCTGTGCTTGAAACAAAGGATAAAAGATGGGTTAGTCCAGCTTCTTGTCTGCTGGAGTTCTGCAGGAAAGCTCAGCCCATGTGTTCTAGACAATAGAACAGAACATGATGTTCTGGGTAAGCAGGTCAGATGAGGTCAAATGTTAAAGCCCTTAGTGTTGCCCAGTATAAGAGTCCAGATGATTAATATTCTAACTTCAGCCATCTTAAGTAGCAGGTAAGTTTTCCTCGGTTTTACTTGTTCCCATTTAAACATATAAGAAGTCTTCAGGACAGCTGAATTAAAACTGACTGAATTGAACATTAGAATCAAGGGAGAGTTCCAAATATGCAGATAATAGGGATCCAACTTAAACCCCATTTCCAGCTGCTCTAAGTGACTTGGTTTCCTAGTAGGTGCCAAGCAGTGCCTTAGTCTCCCTGGTAACTTGAGGCTGGTAGAATCAGATATTAACAGATGCCTATATAGGACCCAAGTGATGAAGTGACTTGCCCAAGGTTCTCTTGGATTATGACAGCTGGAGCTAGATTCCATACATTTTCCAATATAATTGAAAGGCTTTATATAGAGATGTATAAGGAAGTTGAATGCCTACACTAGCACAGATCGCTGACCCAATGTTCTTTGTACATCCGTTAGTCACTTTCTGAACCGAAAGTGCTTTGAGCACATAAGATGGTATATTCTAGTGGAATGGGCCTAAAGGAAG